TATTACAGAACATTATTACATTACATGGTTATGACTGCCTGATGCCTGAGATATTTTTTTATTATAGTTTTGAGATCAGGTTTTGGCCTAAAACATATTTTTGAGCAATATATACTACACACTGATCAGGCATAACATTATGACCACCTCCTTATTTCTACGCTCATTGTCCATTTTATCAGCTCCACTTACTATATAGGTGCACTTTGTAGTTCTACAATTACAGACTGTAGTCCATCTGTTTCTCTGCATTCTTTGTTAGCCCCCTTTTCCCCATTTCTTCTGTGGTCAGGACCCCCACGGCTCAGAGCGGGTACTATTTGGGTGGTGGATCATTCTCAGCACTGCAGTAACACTGGCGTGGTGGTGTGTTAGTATGTGTTGTGCTGGTATGAGTGGATCAGACATAGCAGTGCTGCTGGAGTTTTTAAACACTGTGTCTACTCACTGTCCACTCTATCGGAGACTCCTACCTTCTCAGTCTATGAGAGGCAAATCCAGCTATAAAAGAAATTAAAATTAAAACAATAAAATGTAAAAGCAAACCTCTTTTTGCCATTTCTTTTTCCAAACATCTGCACAAATATCCTGCCAAAATTGAAAATGAAATGAAAAACCTACGTTTGCAAGTCATTTGTGACAAAAATAAAAATAAATCTAAAACAGCCATTTGTCATTTCATTTTAGTCATTATTCTGGTATTTCATGCCCATATCTAAAATGAAAAAGCTAATAGAGAAAAGAAAAGCTTCACTTTGGCTTTGGCTTTTTTTCATGAAATGCAGAATACGTGTCAAAACTAAAATCAAAATTCAATGTTTACGCTCTTATTTCTTTTTCATAGCAATCGGCTGCATATCTGACAAAATGGAAATGAAAATGTAAAATGGATAAATCAACAGCAGAGTGACGGTTTGTGATTAGTTTCCGGTGTGGATGCGCTTTGTGTCAGAATGAAAAGGCAAACGCAAACGAACGTCGGCGCCACCTGCTGGACATTTACTTTTCATTTCCCTCTTTGCTTCTTCGTTTTCAAACTCGCCAACATGCAAATATATGTTAATTAGCACTAGGCGGGGCTACGGGGTACATTTTAGGATATCCTCAGACCTCAGAGTCAGAACGGCATCATTCCTCAAGCTAAACGACTTCAAGTCTCGAGAAAAAACATCGTCATGTCTCAGATCTGGTGAAACTGAACATTCATTTTAGATATGGCCATGAAATACCAGAATCACGACTAAAATGAAATGACAAATGGCTGTTTTAGATTTATTTTTATTTTTGTCACAAATTACTCGTGCTTATGTCAAAAATGAAATTGCGAATGTAGGTTTTTCATTTCATTTTCAGTTTTGGCAGGATATTTGCCCAGATGTTTGGAAAAAGAAATGGCAAAAAGCGGTTTGCATTTACATTTTACTGTTTTAATTTTAATTTCTTTTTTGGCTGAATTTGCCTTCTGTAGTCAGTCCACCATGTAGATGTAAAGTCAGAGACGATAGCTTATCTGCTGCTGAACAGTTTGTGTCGGTCATCCTCTAGTCCTTCATCAGCGGTCACAGGACGCTGCCCACAGGACGCTGTTGGCTGGATATTTTTGGTTGGTGGACTGTTCTCAGTCCAGCAGTGACACTGAGGTGTTTAAAAACTCCAGCAGCACTGCTGTGTCTGATCCACTCATACCAGCACAACACATACTAACACACCACCACCACGTCAGTGTTACTCTCAGGACTGCAGTGATCCACCACCCAAATGGTACCTGCTCTGTGAGGGTCCATGGGTGTCCTGACCACCGAAGAACAGGGTAAAAGGTGGCTAACAAAGTATGCAGAGAAACAGATGGACTACAGTCTGTAATTGTAGAACTAGAAAGTGCACCTGTATAGTAAGTGGAGCTGATTAAATGGACAATGAGTGTAGAAACAAGGATAATCATAATGTTAATGATGGTCATAATGTTATGCCTGATGTAGACACAAAGGACACTTTTAGGTTCACTGGTCATTTTGTGCTGTTTGTGTTGTAGACATTGTGACGTCTGGTTCCTATCACCACCACCGTAAGGAAATCTGAATCAGTGAATTTCTCTACGATTAACCCTTTTATGAATTTGTTCACTTGTCAACCACTGGGTTATGCAGTTTTTTTGAAAAACTGATGTCCTTCTCTTTTAAGTGTAATAATATGTTATTCTAATGTAACAACATCAACATTACCATGAAAATTATGCCCAAAAAACCATTGCATTCATTGCAAATAATTACATTAGCCCACCTTCCCATGTGTATAAACTAATCTTGTCCATACAGTACTTAAGAGTGGCTGAGTATAGTCACTAAGACTTAAACACACATGTTGTTCATAGTCCTTGTTTTGCTTAAGCAGGTCAGGTTTCTTAATGATCAGAATCCTGGAGAACAGATCTTTGGCACCACTTTCAATACCGTCTAAGTAGATGTTGAGCCCCCCCAGAGGAATTGAATTGAATTTTATGATCCTCCTATTGTATGGGTGTTAGAACTGAAAGACTAAGAAAGCACACTGTTCTTTATTTATTCTGTTGTGTTTGCTTTGTTTTATTTTTCTATATTTTGTTAATACTGATTGTATTCATTTCATTGTTCATTTATCATTACAGTTACATAAGTTTGCTGAAGTGACGTGATTTAACAATTTAATTCCAAGGCCTTAGAGTCGAGAGTAAATGAAATCCAAATGAATAGAGCAAAAGGTAAATAGAGTTAACTACATAGAACTAAACTAAATAGAATTTAACCATTTAAACCTAAAATGAAGAATAAAACACAAAAGATAAACAGTATAGACTTCAGATTTAACTAGGTGTAAGACTTAAACTTAAGACTAACTTAAACTTAGCACTAATTAATCAATGTTAACAAAACCTAGATAAACAAAACTAAAATTGATTAATTTAAATTATAATCTAACTCAAGATTGAACTTAAATTAAGCAGAAGATGCAAAGGAGAAAATTGGAGCCATTTTAAATGACCTGTTTGTTGTTTGTATGTACAGTCATGTGTAAAAGTTTGAACACCTGGTCAAATTGCATGATTTGTTGAAAATAAATTCTACTGGACTCAGAAACTGTTGCTTATGACTGTATACCTACCAGTTGTGCTGGTAAAGCCATTTATTTTCACTTTTAACGCACACCCCAACCTCCTAATTCAACTTAGATGTTCTTGTCCACAGCCTACTTCTGCACAACTAGCAAACTATTGACCTTGACTGTGTGGTGTTGCCATAAGGCAACAATGACTTTTTAAAAACATTTTAGCCTGGCTACAATATTCTTTTTGTTTGGAAAACTGAAGACTTTCTGTATAATAGGTAAATATGTATCTAATCAGATGCCTTCCCTTTGCAGTCTTTTCAGTAAATGTCAACGCTTCAATCTAACACTAATTTCTAAATGTTAAACAGAGCTGCTAACCAGGAGAGAGTAGCTTGTGAGCATTAGCTTAGCTAGCATGCTGCCAGCCCTGCTCACCACAGAGCAGGTTCAATTCTGACTTCTGAGGTTCAAGGCTTTGCTGACACAAATTTATATGATATTGACTCAAATCAAAACATTAGTCGAGTGGCTAATGTTAGAGGAACAGAAAGCTGAAATTAAGCCTCTTCTCTGGTGTTTGGAACTGACACCTCCTAGCTAAGCTAATGCTACATGGGTCCTCTCTCCTCGAGAATGTAGCTTAGCTAAAGAGATGCAGACAACCCAATAGGAGTTCGAGTCAACTAACTGCTCTGCTATCAGAAGTATAGATGATAAACTTATTACTGCGAGAGTAGTGTTGGAGTGACACAAAGCTGAAATCCGACTTGTTCTGTAGTGCTTTAAGCTGTAGCCTACTAAGCTAAGCTACCGCGAGTGTACGGTGCCTCCCACCGCACTAGGGGTCAGTTCTGGTGAACTGATGAATAAAAACACTAGTTTAAAGGATAAAGACTCATATCTGAGATCACAAATTCGATTGTCTGGTGTTGAAGTGACAGAAATATAAAACATAGAATTGTTCTGTGGTGGTCTGAGCTGTACCATACTGAGCGACGCTAATGTTAGTGTACTTAGCCAGCTACCGGTGAAACCCACCGCAGTACAGGCTGTTTCAGTAACTGATGCTCGGAGGATGAGAGCATGCCAAGAGACTGGAGTGACAGACGGAATCAAATGTGTTTTGTGGTGGGTGGTGTGTGCATAGCTATTAGCTTGTTATCAAATAGCTCGTTTGTGTAGTTTTCTTCAGTATTTACTGTTTCTGATTTAGTGGCACAGCAAATGGAAAAAGAAACCGTAACTGGTCTCCAGAGTTCGAACCGGTACGGCACTGAGAACCATTTTGCTTGACAGTGAAAGAGTCCAAAATGTTTTTGATTCAGTATCCATATACAACTTCAGGAAAAGATCTGTGGAAAGTTACAATTTCTTTTTTATAAATAAAATTAGACTTTATAAGATTTTATACTGAACAAAAATCTTAGTGCAGTACTTTTGGATTTTCTTCAATTTTGCAGCTGTTTAATTGAAACAGCAGGATTTTTTTCTGCAAATGTGTTGTGCTGCTACAGGCAAATGGTCACACCAGATACTAATGTGGGAATTCTGTTTAAAGACCCTCACTGTTTTTTGCTGGGTATCAGTCACATCTTTTCAGTGAGAAGTGTTGTGTTTGTTTTGTTTTTTTTTCAGTATAAGTAAAAGCATAAAATAAAATTGTTGCCATATGGCAACAGCATGTGAAACTGCAATCTGTAACATATACAATAAGAGTAAATGAATACACTTCCATTAAACAAGCTGCACACTGTTACGGTTTTATAATTGTAATTATTTTCATATCACACTTATGCATATTTGGTTGTTATGTTCATGTTTTTCATGCCTGGATGATAAGTGCCACAGTGTTCTATGGTAGCATTTGTCATTAGCTGTGAAGCTGTTAAGAAGTCTTCGTCTTTGTTTTTTTCTAGATTCTTCAGGGAGCAGCATGAGGACAAATGATGAATATGGGCCTCTGCGAATCCAAAGCATGAATACCATGGACAATGTTGTCATTTAACCTTAACATATAATACTAGTATGTTGTAGACTCACAAGGCATACGTGGACATGAATCCACAAGAACGTGGATTATAAAACTAGGAGACAGTAGAAAAAAGCGATTATTGCTCTAATTGTTGTGGAACTGTGCATTTGGACAGATGCCAGGTGAAGAATGGTCTCTCTAGGAGGTGCTATTCCCTCCTACAGAGTGGAGTTTATGGCGGACATGCCAAAACTGGCCTTTAGAAGCAGAGCTGGGCAGCTTTTCTGCGCTTTTCCTACAAATCAGCACAAGGACCATTGAGGGATCTTCTGTCTCAGAACTTTTTAGAACATTAGTGTCTGCATTTTTAAGCTACGAATAACTTCTCCATCATGGTGCTACAAATGTGGCATGGTGCTCATCTGCTCTGGGTTGGACTCTTTGTATGTACCCTGGTGGATGCTGGTGCTAGCCTGAAATTCTCTGGAGCTGAAAGCCAGTGGGCGGCTTTTCCAATGTGGAACGCCTGCTGCGAGAGCGAAATGAGCTTCAACATGAAGACCAAAAGTTCTCAGGGGCTTCTGGTCTACTTTGACGATGAAGGTTTCTGTGACTTCCTTGAGCTGCTCATGAACAACGGCAAGCTCAGCCTGCGCTTCTCCATCTTCTGCGCCGAGCCCGTCATCATTTTCTCAGATGTGGAGGTCAATGACAGCCAGTGGCACGCCGTCACAATAAAGAGGAACTTCAAGAACACCACGCTCCTGGTGGACAAGGAGGTCAAGTGGGCGGAGGTGAAGTCCAAACGACGAGACATGACGGTCTTCAGCCACTTGTTCGTGGGAGGGATTTCGCCGGAACTGCAATCCGCGGCTCTTCGGCTGACCTCGGACGCCATCAAGGACCAGGTTCCCTTTAAAGGGTGGATAACGGACTTGAAAGTCAACAACTCTGCGCCTGCCATCCTCTCAAGTGCTGGAGTGGACAGCGATGTCTGTGGCAACGATATAACATGCTTGAACGGAGGAGTTTGCAGTGTCGTGAACAACGAACCCATGTGCGATTGCTCCGAGACTGGCTATCAAGGAAAAGACTGCAGTGAAGGTAAGATATGTGAATTTATTTTTGCTGTTATTCTTTGCAAACTGTAGTTCCTTTACATTGATTAAACTTGTGGACTAAAACATTGGCTTAAAAGGTAGGTTTCATGGAAAAGAACATGCTAGCAAGTTATTTATGTTGCAAAGTCCTTCTCGTATTGATCACGAATTGTCTTTATTACTCATTGTAATTAGACAAAACCAGCCGTTGTTGTTGTTTTAATTTAAATAAGCTCTACAGCCTTTAGTCTGAAGATTGTAATCTAGTCTGTTAAACTGGTAATAGTAGTGGTATAAACAAATCAGAAACACTGAAGAAATATGAGGTAATATAACTTTTTTTGTTTTAAACAATGACTCATCTCCTAAAGCCTACAGCAGAGCATTGGGAAGCACTGATTCAGTGTAGTCTCGGAAAAGCTAAAAAAAATATTGCTGATTCACTTTTGGAGAGCAGCTTTGTTAAAGTACATTGGACTAAGCTTGATAAGATTATCTGCTGTCTTTTTCTTCAGTGTGAAGTAAGATATATCCTTCATTTATTTACTTTCCAGCCATTAAGTAACAAAATATATCACATTTTTCAGTAGTGTGTCCAATTTTTGCGTTTATTACAGCTTTTATTCTTTTCAGTAGACTTGTTTTCAGTTTTCCAAAGAAATTTTAGGGTTATTTTCCCACACCTCCAGTTCAGTTTTAGATGTTGATTGCATTTTCTGCTTCTCACCATCCAAGTAATCCAAAACACATCCTTTTAAATTCCGTGAAACCACCGGTGGTTCCAAAACGCACTTCATCATATTCTTTACTTTATAACTTTCAGATTTCATAAGCTTCATTCAAAAGGTGGGTGTTGTATGAGAGCTGTAACTGTCTTCTTTCCAGTCAAAAATGTAATTTTAAAACTTTATAATAAAAGAAGCTAAACTCATAATTTTTTTTTTTCAACTGAAAGTTAACCCATTTTTTTCCACAAATTTGAGCTATAAACTGGATCTCAGATGGTGTTTCTTCAGTGATCTGCTCTGTAAACATTATTTTTCTAAAAAAAAGAGCATCTAAGATTTTCGGCTTTCAGCAGTAAATTGTAAGCATATAGCAATATGTGTATGATCATAAAACACATTTTCTGTTAATTTGAGGGGAGCTTTTACAAAAAAAAACTACATTTATTTTATGCAGTTAATGAATATTTTGCCTTACGGTTTGGGCATGTAAATTCAGATGGAAAAAACAAAATACACCTACGAGCATAAGAGGATATGCAGTGATGTTGAGGTCTGGACTCTGGGGTGGTCAGTCTATTGCTTGGAGAACAACAGCAGCTTCTTTGTTTGATTTGCTCATTTTCTTCTTTTTTCTCAGTAAGGGCTTCTTGACAGCTACACATTCTTTCAGACACACAGTGTTGAGTTGTCTTGTCATAGTGGAAGGATGGACAAAAACACCTGTGGATTTTTTTCAAATCTGATTTTCTCCTCTTTCTCAAAGATGAAAGCTTTAGGCGCTGATTATCTGATGGAGACAAACAGAGTCCCATAATCTCTGCATCTAACAATTTTTTTAGCTCCAGTTTTGGATACTCTTGTTTTTTCACTTATTCTCCTTTGTTTTTTTTCACTTATTCTCCTTCTTTATGTAGGTGGATCATCTTATATATAATCTCCTTAGAAAAATCATCTTGTACTCCTTGAATCACTTGTAAGGTCATTTTTGACTGAATGTTAAATAAATGAAGGATGATCTATCACCTTTACGTAATACTGTTCAAAAATAGATACAAAGATATCAGAATAGTGAGTACAGTAGGGGCTGCTTTTTTTGTAATGTCATTAGACCTCATTAGGACTGCAGATATTCCTTCCCATTTATTGATTATTGTTATTTATCAATGCATGACGTGTGAATTACATCAGCCAATTTTGAGAGATTAAATAATAACTCTTTTAAAAAGCTCCTAAAGAAGATATTTAAAGCATTTGATTTCTAATATAAGTCAACAGACATTGCCCATAGTTCCCAGGTTTGCTAAAAGTTGGGATGTTTATCTTTCTTCTACAGCATGCTGCCTTAATATGGCACATGATTTTTGTGTTGTGTAGGAAGTGCCAATGTATATGTTATAATCCTTATAAACACCTTTGTGGTAAAACATTCAAATCAATTTTGACCAATAATCAGCATTCATGGTATAGAATCAGTGTTTGTAGGGCTGACCTAATTAGCTGTTCCTAGAAGACCTCATTAGCCAAGCAAGCAGGTGTAGAACATTCTCCAAGGTGTGCAGCACTCACTCTATTTAGGTCACTTAGGATTTGTTGACCTATGACGTTATTTACCTGCTCTGAGGGGCATTTGATGAAGCAAGAGTACTAAGAGCATTTCATAAAGCAAGTGGGCTCAGTTATGTGAAAAGCAAAGAATGGGCGTCTTTCTCCTGTATCTTCATACGTTTTTTGTAAATTTGTTCTTAAGAAAACGTCTTTTCAGATTCATGACATGAGAGCAAATCGCAAATAGGAAAACATTGGTGAATGTCAGAATCTTCATGAAAGATTCATGAAAATTTAAGAAGAAATTTCTACTTAAGAACGGTTGGTGAATGAGGCCCAGTGTCTTTGAGAATGTCCGTGTAACTAGGACAGTGTTGATTAGGCAAACAGTTTCCAGCTACCAGAGAAACTTTGTGGTGTACCCCCTGGATGGAGTCTAGGGCCCTTTAATGTTTCCAAATCCTACAATTAGGAAAAGTTCCAGTTCCAGATAGGTGCATACACCTATCTATAGAGGATGAGTTTATGAATAGGATAATGTTTGCTATTTTGAAAGGGCATGCTGCTAATCATGCAAAAGTATGCAAGCAAAAGCTGAATGTTTATAGGCTTTTGGGATCTCACTTGCAAATATTCAATAAATATTGTAGTTTCTGTGAACATAATATTTGGTACCACCATCACATTGATATGAACCAGGCAAAGCTGTTGAGCCCGAACTATGTACAGAATATAAGTGGTATGTTGTTTGCTTTACCATGCAAATGTGTTGGTCCAAAATGATATGTAAAAGGCATTTATTCATTATAATTTTTATTGTTATTATTGATTATGTATTTAAAAAGCACCTTTCATACACTGTTGCTCAAAGTACTTTACAAATGAGAAGTCATTTAAAAGTCATTTAAAAGTAAAGAAAAGGAGAATAGAAATCAAACTTGACTTAAACATGATTAAAATAATCATCATTAAAATTAAAATCAATTTAGAAGTTAAATTAGTATAATTAAAATCAAATTAAAATTAAATTAGGCTTTTAAAAGTGCTATTTATTTGGAACAGAAGTGTCTCTAACATTAGAGTAAATACAAAATAAGCATATATTTTATTTGTGTCAGTGTGTTGGCTTAACCATTTCTACACCTCTTCTCAAAGAAGCTAAGCAATTACAGTTATCACCCAATACCTGCCTTAGAGAATCAATAAAAATCAGGTGTGTTGCTGATGGAATGTAACATTTACACTTACAGCATTGGGCAGATGCTTTTATTTTAACTTACACTTTAATCTTGTTACAGTTGTAATTATGTTACAGATGTTTGGAGTCTTGCCCAAGGACTGTCACTGGTATAGTGCTGTGTGCTGGCCTGGGCAAGAAATTGAACCTGTGTTCTTCTAACTTTATTCTTGTAATCAAAGCATTAATAACATTTCAGAAGCAAAACATTTTAGAAACAAAAAGTATTGTTATACTTTACTGTATGTGTGGTTATTTATATGTATTATAATGTTACTTAGGGTCTTTACTGGCACACTTTAAAAACACACAGTTTGCATGGCTGCCTAGGACTTTTTCACAATACTGCATATCATAAATAATATGATTTTAACTATGTGAAGGACAAAAACATACTACATACCTACAAACAGTAGTAGAGGCACATTTGTATTGATGTAGGCAGTTTGCACAATGCTAACTGGTGTACATAAACTTCCATTAGCATTTAGCTTCAGAAACGTCAGACACCAAGCTTGTGCTTACAAAATGTAGATCTTTTTTCTTTATTGGTCCTGATTCATCAATCCAAATACCAGTCGATTCATGTGAGTTGAGTGCAAGTCTTGAGTCTTTAATAGAGAATTTTAGTTTAGTCTTGTTTTTAGCTGCAGGTGTTGCATTTTACAAAAGTAAATGCCTGCAAAAACTTGCCAGGCTTCAAATAACAAGACCTTCTTTAAAAAAAAAAAACTTCAGTCTGAAAGACAGAAGTGAAACGCTACATGAAGTAAATGCAATGTTTAAAATCAATCAGCCTTAATTTAAACTTGGAGTACATTGACGGTGACCCTCAGACGGTGACACCAGCAAGTTAAGCTTTAGAGGGTCTTGAAATGAATTTCAACTCGCTCGTGCACTGTAGCTAAAAGCAGATCCTATCACTGGAACAAGTGTGATAAATTGCATTATTTACATATAATAATACATATAATAGATTTTTTGTGATGTATGATGACATATGGCCAGTAAGCTCTTTATATATAGAAAAGAAGCCAATGTGTCTCCCGACGCACAGCCAGACGGATCAGCCAACTTTTTCATAAGTATACAGTGATGGGTACTGTAGGGGTCACCAGTAGTTAATCTTAAAGCAGAGTGGTATACAGAGTCTAAAGTTTTGAGATTAGTTGCAGATAGTAGCATATCTGTCTATCACATCATTATAATCCAGAATAAACAATAGCATTGATTTATCCTTTTCCTTGTGTGCACTGGGAAACATGTTTTGTTTCAATAAAGGAAGGCCTCAGCTTGTTGTTAGCTTACCTGAGTTTCTTAGTGTGGTATTTAAAAGTAAATTTCTCATCCAGCCCTATGCTAAGGTACTTGTTTCAACCCTTTCAATGTCAGATCCCTTCAGGATTGTGATTTATGTTAAAATCAATGTTAAAGACTCTCGACAGAAAGCAGCAAAGCAACTTGAAACATTGTGTTAGTCTGTAGTTTAGCTAA